TAATGAATTACTGATCCATGAAGAAGAGAAAAGGGTGCTCATCGCATGAACTTTTCTCACAAAGACACAATTAAGATAACAGAGAAGAAGTACTGACACCATGAAGAGAAAGACTTGAGGTTAACACAGGATCTGAATCTTGTCATCCTCTGATTCGAGGCAGAACATGACTCTGAGCAGGAGGCTGCTGAGTTCATGTGAATATCAGTGTACAAAAGTACAAATTACTCACACCAAAGTTGCCCAATTTTGTAAGAGAGTGTAGAAACTTTGTAAATTTCCATCTTCACTTCTGAAAGCATTCCAGAGCTGTGTTAGCTTGCTCAAATCTGCTTTTCACTAGGTTTATATCTACTGATAATGATTTTGTCCTGGCTTCTCTCCACAGACTTACCACTCTAAGTCTCTGATAAAAACCTTTTTATTACACTGGCATGTAATTCCTTGAACAAAGACCTAAAAATCAAAAGGCTTGCTGACCTAAAAAACTGCTAGATTATCTTTTGAAAGAAAAGAAAGAGGGAAAGGGAACTCCTTGATATTTCATATCAGTGAGTAGCGTTTGTGAATCCAATATCAAAAAACTCCTTCTAACAAGGAACAGTTGTAAAAGATGCATTTTCCAATTGCATTTTTCAATCAAAATTTAATCAGATTATAGGAAAGTTAGGGGTGTGTTTTTGAAGCAAATTCTCTCATCAAAGACAGAGTAAATTGGCCAGGGTGCAGGTTAACACAGGGTGTGTCAGCTGGATAGATGTTTTTGGCACAAGAGGGCTTAGCTATCAAGATGATCTGCATGGGAATGATTTAAAAATAGCGACAAAGCACGGTTACTGGACTGTGTCTGTACACATAGAGTCTATCATTCTCAATCAATACTCATATATTTTATAAAAATACAAGGTATTTCATTTATTTAATCCATTTTAACTTCTAAGCAGTCACAAATTTAAATGTGTTTGTACTGTTTCTTCCATAGGTGAGAGCAGTTGAGCAAAGCTCAGAAACTGGGATAAGTGCAATTGTGTTCTCTGTGGCTGAGCTGCATTTCTGTCACCCGTACCAGCATACTTGTAGCATTCCATGCAGTGCTAGCCTCCATGCAGTATCCAATTGCTTGTGGTATTCATTTTACAAGAGTTTCAGGTACTCAGCACCTCAGAAATGCTGAATCTCAGTTTACATACTGCAGTCAAAATTGTCCCGCTATTATTTTTTCAGAAAATAAGGTATTTCAACAGTTCACATCTTGGAAAGATTTTTAGGAATGGGTCACACCCACCAGAAATTGACACTGGAACATTACAGAATTTACAGAGGTTAGGGAGTTTTGATGTAATTGCTTTTCAATGTCAGGAAAAAGATATGCAACAAAAAATGCTCTAGAAACAGCATTCCAAAAGAATCAAAATCTGTTTAGATATTATTAAGTTGTGTAAGAAAATTAAAATAGTTTTAATATCAGTAGTGCACATCTCATAATTTTTACAGAACCAATCTGAAAAGAATATTCTATTTTTGAGGGGGATGGGGAGTGTGCAACATCTGGGAAAACAGGCTATGTTTTTAAAACCACTTCTGATCTACAAGTAAGGAAGGAGCATTTTCCACTGACAGGATAGGAAATTACATCAAGAAATCTCCCATAGCCAAAGATAAAGAGTCAATATAAAGACAAATAAAGAAATTTGTTTCACCCATATATTGAAGCAACATGGTATACTGGTAGCAGTGAATCTGTCACTCATAATGCTAATTATCTTGTAAACAATTGCATAGGCAAGACTTGAGTGAATTTTGTTTCTGCAAATATTAAAGCAAAGATCTGCCAGCTAAGGCTGATAGAGACTTCTAAACATGATTCCAAGATGAAAAAATAGTACCTTTACATACTTCTAATGAAAAAAAAGAGTAACCTTGAATTCATGTGATTTAGTCAAATTCCAATGATATAACACCACTTACTCACTCTTCTGCTGATTCTTTGTCATTTGTTCTTCACTACTAACCTCGTGGCTAAGAGCTGTTAACTGTGTTAAAAAAAGAAAAAATAGAGGAAGTTCAGAGAATACCTGTGGATATAGCCAAAACATTGGTAACACGGAAGGATTTTGTTTGTCACTTCTGAGTAAATAATCAATATATGGCAGATTGTTAATTTTAGATTAGGTGAAAACATACTCATTTTTTTTTTTTTTTTAATATTTCCTTCCAAGCGGAGGTGAACACTGAAGTGGCTTACAGCAGTGTTATGATGACCTCTTGTGGTTAAGTAAAATATGCATTTTGAATCAAAGTCTCTTGAAAGCTTCCACTACCAAAGGTTAAATTCTATGCTTAGATCTGAAGAGCTTTGTGTTGTTAATGTTGCCTAACCTGAAATAACTCCTCCTCCCAAGCACGCTATCAATATTTGTTTAGCTCACTGCTAAAAGATTCTTTTAAAAATATCTCAACCTTTGCACTCCACGAACATAGCAGGTGAGAGTATCGTGTTTTCTCACATGGTAATTTGTTAAAGCAAATTGACAGGTCTGCCTAAATAAAATCATTAATATAAAACCTAATAATATTTAATAAAACTGTACTGCCCACTACAAGTGTAAAAGAAACTATATAAGCCACTCATTATAAGAAATAAGATTATATTGATAGACTGCAACAGTAGATATTGAATATATATATTTTTTTGCATAAAATTTTATTACATGAACTAACTATATGCATCGTGTTTAAATTGCTGTTAAAGCTGTCTCTTTTCCTCAGCTTTTCTTTCAAGAAAAATCAGAGAACTGAGGACTTTCTGATGTTGCCAAATACAGGCTATCAATCTGGATCAAATTACCTGACACATCCTTTAGTAGATAAAATTGCTCAAGACTTTATCCTGATTTTCCAGTTTCCTGAAATCATTCAAAATTACACTGATTTCATAAGACCACTTGGCTGAATGATTATACTTCAAGTGATGGTCCCATCAATATTTATAGACCCATGGTAGTGCTTTCCCACTGGAGGATCACCAGTGGTGGTATTTACACCTGCCAGGCATTATTAACATGACCTTACTAAATTTAGGAATTATTGCAAAGCCACTCCTGCACTGGCTCTGCTGTCTGAAGCTCTGGGAGCTCATCGGGAGCACAACCTTGGACTGGCCCCAGCTGGGCGTGTGCCACGCTGTGAGACGCTGTGGTGGCAGCCTCAGCTGCTGTGGGACCTGACTTGTTTATGCAACAAAACATACTTTGGAGAGCTGTAGGTTGAACCCACATGCTGCTCCCAGTGTACACAGAAATCATTATCAGCTCTCCCCATTTCTTTTCTTTGAAAAGGGGAAAAACAGAGGCTGTTGGGCAAAACGTGCTGGAACAAAGCAGATGACAGCAACAAAAAAGCAGGTTTAAGTTAAAATGTGGTTATTGACACATGTCAGTAAGGAAGCACTGATGGCAGTCATGTGTCCTGAAAAGTCTCTCTGAGTTTTGAAACATCATTGACGAAATTCTCCTGAAAATTTCTTGCATTAGGAGGTTCTGAGCACTGCTGGTATACAGACTTGGGAGACAAAACCAAATTGTTTGTGTGGGGGAGGGATATGTTTTGTTTCTATTGTTTAATAGGCCTAATTGTCTCCTCCTTTAGCTGGGTTAACTCTGCAGTGCCAAGAACTGACTGACTTCAAACTGTAAACCCAGCGTATGAGGAGCAAGATCCAATACTCTTGACCCCACTGAACTTCCAACTAAATACAGTTTGCATGTCTGAACATGTGATTTCTCAAAATGTCCAAATGCTGACATTCTTTCCCCTGCCATAGGTTACAGGTGGGATAATGTCCAGCCTGAGACAATTTTAATTTGACCCTCAGGGTGCAGTTTATTGCTCCCCTGGCTCAGCATAGCTGCCCAGTGGCTTGTGGCCACTTGTTGCCCATTGGAGGCTCCTGGCCAGCCAGCCAAGAAACCAGCCAGCTAGTGACCTTCCCAGAGGAGGTAGGTTGTGCCTGTTTTGGCAGCATATATGCTGGCATCTTGTGCTTCATCGTGTAGCCTTCCAAGCCATGCTGTGCCAGTAGCAGCGTGGTGTAGACAGGAATCATCCGGTGAGTACCAAGGTCTCATCAGTTTCTCCCATCCTAGGACAGGTGTCATAGTCACAGCCTTGTCCCACCAGCTGCCAACTCACAACTCTTGCTGTAACCACATTTCAGCACAAATGTCAATAGACTAGCCATGGTGCATGCTTTCAGCCAACACAATGCACCAAACATATTCAAAACTCTGAAAAATGAGTGTGTGTTTTTAGGTGTGGGGGGCACCCTGGGACAAACTATCGTTTTGAGGCAACTTCTGGATACTGACTTTCAAGGACAATGAAAGTCAAACCCTACAAAAACCTTCCACCTCTGCACATCATCTAATGTTCACACTAATTATTAGAAGGTTCTTATAATTCGTATACATATTTGGTGATAAAGATAAGCTGCAGAAAATTTCCAGCAAACAAAAATGTTAAAAAAGAAAGCAATACAGGGACACTACCACACTACTAAACTGTGTTCTACCACAGACTACTATTTTACTGCAGAAATATTTCCTCTATAGGCATTCTCAGATAACTTCCTGTTTATAATACAGTTTTATTCAAGCTTTGTAATGTTCTTTCTCATTCTCCAAGCAGTGCAGAGCATCCTTGCAAGCAGGGGTTAAATCCTGCACTTCCTTTTTGGCTTCTCTTCCAACAATAACAGGTTCATATTCTGGCTTTGACAGGAGGGAGTTGGATTTACTGGCTGGTTGTTGTGTAAGCATCAACTGTACTGGAACTATGGTAGGAGCAAGAAACAGGAAGAAACTGGTTGGTAAAACACAATCATAGGCTGGCAGGAACTCCGTGACTATTTGTCACTCCTTCCAAAGGGGGGAAATACAGCTGGTGGCAGATATTCAGTGCCATCAAGTACCCAGAAGAGAGATTAAATATCTTTTTTCTCCATGCCAGGATACTCAGAGTTTTACTTCAATGTGGACCATGGCTACCTGGAGGGTCTGGTCCGAGGGTTCAAAGGTGGGATCTTGACAAGTGCGGACTACGTCAATTTAGCACAGTGTGAGACACTAGAAGGTAAGTGCTGGTTTATTTTATTCAGGAAGAAACACTGTTGCTTAGGTTTTTGAAGAAGGGAAGGTAAAAGACTGAACTACTGAGAGTTTGTCTTAAACCCAGAGATAACCCCGATGTCCTTTGAAGAACTGCTCTCATATTTAAGTTAATAGCTTTCCATAGATTGTGATTTGTGTGCAGGCTGTAATTTGCTAAGCAATGCAGACAATGGGGCTTTCTGGTTTACTGATAAGGATTAGAAATCTCTTCCACAGAGCTCTTATGGAGATTGGCAACCTTCTCACAGATTTTAGCCATGCTATAGAACAGTTCAGGTTTGGAACTTTCATACCATTTCAGCTGTATAAAACAGTTCCCAAAATCTTGTTAAAAGCTTGCTATTTGGCTAGGAGTTTCTCTATGAAATACATTTTTTTAGTAATTTGTTACTTCCTGAGTTTTAGGGCAGTGGTGAAGACTCTGCTTACCAGGAACAGAAAACTAGATTCCACAAATATAAAACTTAGGGAAATAGGAAAAAAAAAAAAAAAAAGGAAAAAAAAAAGCTCTTTTCAAGGTGACTTTGCCACAGTAATAAAGAGAACGCACAGTAGTTTCCAAAACAGCTTTCTGTGGCCAAGACTGGTCACAGCCTGATGAAGACAGACTTGTACCAAAGAATCATATGACATACCTTTAGACACTTGGCAGGAAAAAACGCAACAGAAAGAAATCACTTTTCTAAAGGAACATAAAGTTAATTTTCCTGACTGCAAAATAAAAGCTATGATTGTACAGTCAGTTTCTATAACTTGCAGTTTCTTAGATCAGCTTGGAAAAGGAAGAAGGAGAATGAATAAGCTCTCTCTATTTTAAGCTTTGGCTGATTTGTACATGCAGTAATGGGTTTGGAGTAAGAGAAAGGGAAGAATGATGATTCCCATATCCAACAGAGTTTTGAGGCTGTCTAAACTATTAATATAAGTAATAACATAAGTCTGGGAAGATTGCTTGCCATTCATCTCTTAGATTAAAACAACTGCATTTAAAGAAATGCACGTAGATATTTACCTGTCTGCAGAATAAAGTTCCTCTTATAGGAATATGTTAAAGAAGATTTTATCAGTACAGTCAATGGAATCTAGACGCTATTGAACAGACCAAGTGCATATGTCTGCTACTGCTGATAACCTGGAGAGCTGTTCCAGCTCTCCATTAAACACAGTGGCAGTTCAGGCACACAGAACAGATGTATACAATCACTCTGAGAACTGAAATCTATTCCTTATGTCAGCTGGAAAAAATCAACTGTTTCTTTACCCCATTTTTTCCAGCATTTGTGATGTATGCAACTTACAGACTCTACAGAAACACTTGATATAGTATTTAATTGTTTAAGTGAAAAAGTCCTGCTGCATAAGGATACAGACTTTGGAAAAAGGTAACAGCTTCAAGCATCTATAAAAGAAACAAAGAACAGATTGGTAGAATAACTAAACTCTGTTCTCACTTCACTTCTCTCTGCAAACAAACTCAATAAATTATGTTATCCAAAGTTTCATGAAGGAAAAAAAAATCCTGGTTGCTTCTGAATAAGAAGAAAAGATATAGAGTTAAAAACATATAAGCAAAAGGGATTATTTGTACCCTTCACAAAAGAATACTTAATCGTGTTAAGTTTAGAATAGCTAAAAAGATCCATAAATTTTAAGTCAAGCTATAAGGAAGTTACTTACCCCCATGAGGTAGTTTTCAAATATTTCTGATATATAAACTTTCAATATTTTTAATAGCATGAAGCAGATGGACAGGTAACAATAGAGAGATAAAAGCCATCCTTAATTTATAATAGGAAGAACAATTAGTTTTATTTTTTAAACTTATTTTTTCTAGTGTTCATTCAATTTCAGAATGCAAATTATTTCATCAATAGAAGCAGCAGCCTTCATCATCCCTCCTACAAGCACACCTCTACTACCCACTATCACTTCCCCTTTTTCTCTATTCAGCTGCATCTCTTTCACCACAGATTCCCACCATTTACCTACCAAATGTAATATTTATAATGAAAATATGAGAAATATAAAAATAATGGATTTCTACATGATACTAAACACACTTATTTCTCTGCACATGTAGGATGCTGTAGTACTGAACTTTCACTGTGAGTGTACAGTGCACCAAACCCACAGACTCCTACCTAAAGTAAATTTCTAAAGTAAATTTCATACATTGTCTTTGATTCAAATTTGAAATATTCAGCAAGAGGATCTGTGCTGTAGTAATGTGATGTTTTCTCAGAAGTGCCATCATGTCTTCACATTGAAAGGTAATAAATTTACCCTATTCTGCATTCTGTGGCTTAGCATCACACCACAAAAAATGGCCTAAGCTAAAAACACTATAAATATGCTAAAACAAACAAGCAGAAAACAAAAATCAAAACCACTCAAAGTAACCCATACACAGAAGCAAAAAGATCTTTTAATTTCAGAGTGGTTTTGGTATCTCTAGAGATGAAACAATAACATCACCACTGAAGAACCACAAGAAAAACTTTAGATTAATGCTTTACATCTGCTTGATAATCACAGAGCAAGTGCAAAAGCAGAATGGAAATTAAAAAACAAGACTGCTAACAGACTAATGATACCACTGTGTCCTTTCAATTCAGGGCCATACAGACAGGAGGAGAGGCTTTCAGCTCCATTTAGACATCCTCTTCAGCTTGGTTGAACTATGATTTCCATGAAGCAGCCTCATGCTGGTTTGGTCCTATGGCATCATCTGTTTTAAGGGAATGAGGTTCCCAGAGCAACCTTGCTGACAGTTTTGAAGAATATGGGGTTGTGGGAGTGTGGAGGTGTTTAAATGAAATGTTTTGTTCTTCTCTTGCTTTTTTTCTGTGATAGAAAGACTTCTGCTCTGTAGAAAAGAGGGTAGGTCACAGAAGGGCAAACATCTGAACTCAGGGCCGGCCGGAATCACTGACACAAGTTGACTTAACTTGCCAGAGCCAGGGCCTGCCAGCACATGGTGGCTGAAATAACAGTGTTAACAGAAAGAAAATTGCAGCTGGTTGGTTATTGCTATCAAAGTGAGGGGTCAGACAAATTACCATGAATTTGATGCCAAGAGACTAGGTTAACATTTTGTTAAAGTTCTCACAATAGTCTTTCTTTTTGATCAGGATCATTCCTGTCTTAACTGCAATCATCTTAAACCAGTCTCCCTCTGTGCTCTAATTCCTTTTAGTTATACTTTAGTTAATTGTGTTTGTTTGCTATTCAGTTGTGAGTAAACTCACGTAATTCTTTAAGGTCATATTTTTCCTATAAGTTGTTATCCTGCATGCAATTTAATGAGGAAATAGACAATGCAGATGGATGACAATCAAAATGAATGGATGACAGCTGAAATACAGGAATTTTCTTCCCTAGGGATCTTTAGGACAAAGGCCAGAGTCTTGTGTAGGTCTCCAAGAGACCCTGAGAAAAGGAGCAGCTACCCCCAATAAAAGGTTTTGGTGAACAGGAATGTCTGAGGCCCTGTAATGCTCAGCCATCTACTCCTGCTGAGTCACCAAGTCATGTCACTAGTGCAAGTGTCTGACAGCAATAGTTCCCAGGCCTTATTTATGCCAGCAGCAAAGACAGGACTATAATTTAGGTCCAGCAGTTCAGTCTCTGAGCTGCACTGAACTCTGTCTTGATGTGAACCCTGATTATGACATTTCTGGTTGATATTATATGATATTGGAGCTTGTGGATTATTGTTTTGGCCTAGACCGTGAGATAGAGTGGAATATTTTTTCTTACATGCAGTATGCATGTTGGCATTTATTTATTCAGTTAAATAAATACATCTATAAAGCAGGCTGTGTAACTGACAGGGTTTTAAACCCAACATTCCTGGGTATAACAGTTCCTCCATAGCTTTTGGGAGAGGGGTGAGGCTATTTAATGAATTATAGCTAATATTTTTCGTGCCTTATATTAAGGTATGGTTTATGAAGGCACTCAAATAAATTCAGATAACTGAGAAAGAGTAACAAAGTCTTGTGAAACTACTCTCAAAGAGCAGGTTTTTGTTTCTGTTCATCTTATGATGATGTTAATCACATTTCAGAATGGTCAATACTTGGGGCTGATATTTGGATTTTACAATCTGCTTTATGTAATTAACCCCTGGAAAGTACTGTGTTTGAAAGGCATTTGCACAGTGTGGCTAAAAGTAGATATCTGTCATTCATCTGAAAAGGAATTGAGAAAAGGAATTGAGCTCTGCGTCTCATAAAGTAGTATTATCTAATCTCAGCATATGTCAAGTATTTTTGTACTCTTTGCAACAAAAAAGCAGAAAAGTAGGAAAGTTTTCACAGGAAATGTAGGTGTAAAATAAAAATATTAATGAAATTTTAAAAACTTGGTCTTACATAGACTAATTTCTGGGTATAACTGCATTTTTATTTTTCTCTTAATCTTGCTTACCTTTCCCTCTTTCTCCAATTGTGTTTCTTTTTTCATATTTGGATTCTATTTCTCCTCTTCCTACATGGAAGTCGGTACTGAAAGTATGACTTTTTCTAAGTGTGTTATGTGATTTGATGTGCATTTGATGAATAGGCAATATTTGGGGGATAAAGAACTGTCTGAGTGGTTGTATCCAGAGAGTAGTGGGAAATGCTTCAAAGTCCAGAGAGAGCTCAGTGCTGAGCAGTGCCCCTGAAGGGTCCTTTTTGGGACCAGTCTTGCTTGATATCTTCATCAGTGACACAGACAGTGGGATTGAATGCACTGTCAACACGTTTGCAGGTGGCACCAAACTGAGTGGTGCATGTGACACCAAACTGAGTGAGTGGTGCAGTTGACACAACGGAGGAACAGAATGTCATTTAGAGGGACCCAGCAAAGCTGGAGAAGTGAGAATCCCAAGGGAATCTCACGAGATTCAATAAGGCCAAGGGTGAGGTCCTGCACCTGGGTTGGGCAATCCCTGGTATCAACACAGGCTGGGGCAGGAAGGAATCGAGAGCAGACCTGTGGAAAGGGACTTGGATGTCTGCTACTCTTGGACAAAATGTCAGGCATGAGATGAAAATGTGTGCTCACAGCCCAGAAAAACATCTGTATCCTGGGCTGCATCTAAAGCAAGGGAGGGAAACTGTTCTCCTCCTCTGCTCTACCCTCATGAGACCCCACCTGGAGTACTGTGTCCAGCTCCAGGGTCCCCAGCCCAGGAAGGACGTGGGCCTGCTGGACTGAGTCCAGTGTAGGGCCACAGAGATTATCAGAGGGCTGGAACATCTCTGCTACCAGGAAAAGCTGAGACATTTGGGACTGTTGATCCTGGAGAAGGTTCTAGGAAGACTTTATTGCCAACTTTCAGTACTTGAGGAGAGTTACAAGAAAGATAGAGACAAGTTTTTAAGTAGGGCCTGTAGCAATAGGATAAGGGGCAACGGCTTCAAACTAAAAGAGAATAGATTTAGACTAAATATAAGGAAGAGGTATTTTAAAAGTAGGATGGTTAAACACTGGAAGAGCTTGCCTAGAGAAGTTGGAAACATTCATGGCCAGATTGGACAGGACTCTGAGCAACCTTGAGAGACAGCCAACTTGCATAGAAGACTCTATGAAGTTTATCTCAGTAAGCTACAGTGCTAAACGTAGGAGGCTGCTTCACACTGTACTAGTTCTTTTGCTTTAAGTCTCAGTGTAGGCAGCCTTATTGCATACTGAGGAAGTATACACATAGGGAAATAGGCAAAAGTAGCTACTGTACTGATAAATGCTTACCTTGCTAACTGCAAATTAACTTCCATATTTCCATCAGTGGGAGTGTTGCTGTCCTTTCCCCTAATTATCAGTTCAAATTTCACGTAGAAATCTAATTATTAGACATGCCCAAATCATATAATAGAATCCCAATCTATAATTTAAACTAGTTTTAATATAGCATTTGAACACAATTATGGATTGCAGTGGGGCCTTTTCTAAAAGAAAACATTAAACTGCTTTGAACAGCAAGAAATTATTCAAATGCTTGCTCATGCCTCATGGTAAAAAAGGGCTAGCAGATAAAATTCATCACATTAATTCTAGGATGTCATGAAAGTTTCTTTTAACTTTGTGGTCAAAACAACTCATTTTCCCCAGTCACCAGGGTTGAGAGCTCAAACAGAAAATGTCACAATGACCCAAGTTTCTGGAACAGCTTCTTAGGATTTGCTAGTACCAGCCATAAATCAGAGAAAGCCAAACCAGAAATGCTAAGAGAGTGTAAACTCTCCCCTTTCAAGTGCTCTACTGCAGAATCCATTTGGAGTCTAGAATGTGTGCCAGGCAAGATGTGTTTCCTTCTCTTCTTCAGACAGCCTGATAACAGAAGATTATAATCTTACTTGAGATTTAGTTGTTTCATAGGAATATTTAAGATCTTACCAGAGTTAAAGCATTATTCCTACTCCAGTCCATGAGAGTGCAGCAGACAAAACAATTGATGCATTATAATGGTGCAAATCAGTGAAATCGAAACATTGAACAAAAGTGATGAGTGAGGGACTAGAGACAGTAGTGGGTAACAGCCTATCTGGTATGTCTGAGAATGAAAGCTGATGGTGAAACTTCTGACAAAGACATAAATTATTTGCTCTTTCCTATAGTATGCAGAAAGTCTTACTGGTAGAAGGCAGTACAAATTTGCATCAATTTTGCATTTACCCTGTATTATGGCTATGCAAAAAACCTTTTCAATAGAGTATTATCAATTGCTTAATATAAAAGTGTATTAGAAATTAACTTTTAAAAAAATTTGGTTGCAGACAATATGACAGTTTATGCTCATGATCTTTCCTGAATTTTAATTTCAGATCTGAAGTTGCATCTACAGACTACAGACTATGGCAATTTCTTGGCAAATGAAACTGGTCCTCTCACTGTTTCCACCATCGATGAAAAACTGAAAACAAAACTACTCACAGAATTTCATTACTTCAGAAACCATGCTTTTGAACCACTCGCCACTTTTCTGAATTTTGTCACGTAAGTAATATTACCAAATATCTTACCACACAGAAGAACCAGTTTAAATAGTGTAAATGAAAGATATTGGAATTTGCATTTAAGTTTTAAAGCCAGCAAAATTACTTTGATACTACTACATTTGCATGCTTTACTTGCTAATATAAATTCTGAAACTGTATCTTATATGAAGATTTGTTGTCTTTGCAACTAATTATTTTAAAGAACAGAAGAAAACAGAAGTTTTCTTTGCGTGAACAGTGGCAGAAGAAGTGGTAGAGATTAATTAATTTAAAAATGGTTGAAATTTTCAAACACCGTCTAGGTCAGACAAGTTGAAAAACTATGTTTGGGAGAGGGGGTGTGATTCATGCAAGATTAACAATTTCATGATGCACAGGGAAGTGATTTAATTCCTAGGCATGTAGCAAAGTGTAGACCTTTTTAAAGGGGAAAAGACAACACATCCTACACCTGCCATAATTTTTATACTATTCGAACCAAATAAATAAAAACCAGGAGGACTTTATATGGTATATTGCAAGGTACTTAGATCCAAGTAGCTTTATTTGGAAGTTCAGCTGTTGTTTGATGCTGGATGAAGAGAAAGCTCTGATCTCCATACCATCACAAATAGATTAAACTTGCAAATGAATGACTTAAACAACTTTAAGAACAGGGATCTGCTTTATAACAATATAACAACATGGACTAGCAAAATACCAGCATGATATTTAACCTAACTATTTACTCCCCTTGATCTGATACTTTTAATATATTTTAACAAGAACAATGCACTGTTCAACTAAAGTTCAAGGAGCAGCTTTATTATAGTAAAAAAGAAGCTATCATTTTTTTTTCTGGTCGTGTGTAGCTGACCAATGCTAGGCTGATATATTAACAGGATCTTAAAGGCTGTCCTAGGTTGCCTGTGGGCATGCAATATTTACATTTTGTTTCAGGGAAATTAAAATGAAAGCATGAAAGTTTTGGTAGTTCTTTTATCACACTCATTGACATAAATGTTTTGCATTGACATAAATGTGGATGCACAGCCTTTGCTCACTGTTGTTTTTTTAAAATAATGGATATACTGGTTAAGATATTTCACACAAATCATTGAACTGCATTCCACTAGATCCTCAAGCCCTCTTTACATATTTCGGGTGAGAACATATAAATCCCTGTGTGTTTATAGCTGTGTTCTTAGTCAACAATGCACACTCGAGACTGGCATTCAAGGAAATTATGTTCCCATTTCCGAGTCACTGACAAGACTCATCAGCCCCTTTGACACTAAAACTGGTATGAAGCTGATAGAAAACTTCTACTCAAAAGAAAACTTTAAGTAATAGGGAAGAAATCTGTAAGAGCCTGTTCTTAGCTCCCTCATGGGCGGATGTTTAAAGCTGAATGAGAAGAAAACCTAAGATTGGACCAACTGCATGAACTCAGCAGTTTTAGTGCCGAGATTCCCATGTACTTCTTTGTCCATGGTATTTATGAAATTAACAATCCCAAATTTGAAAATTTGCTAACTCAGGTGATTTGCTTTGGATACCACTCATTGTCACTTATTACAGTGAATCTACATCTCAGCTGTTATGCTTATTATAGTCATGTGTCAGTACCACCTTTTTTAAAAATGTCCATTTTCTAAATCTCTCATATAAATTAGGTTTAAAACTAGTGCTTTGTTATCTACTTGCTATTTAAAAACTTCTGTTGAGTTTTGATGATCTATTGATACAGAATGAACATACATTCTGATAATACTCTGGTATTATGGCTAATTTTCAAAAATTTTTGGTTTTTATTTTTTGAAGTGAAAGTTGTTTATAAAAATAATTTATTTTTACTTTTCCTTTCCAATACAGATACAGCTATATGATTGACAATGTAATTCTTTTAATAACTGGCACATTACATCAGCGACCCATAGCTGAGCTTGTTCCCAAGTGCCATCCATTGGGGAGCTTTGAGCAAATGGAAGCAGTCAGCATTGCCTCAAACCCCACTGAACTCTTCAATGCAATTTTGGTTGACACACCATTAGGTAAAACCACTAAATTATTTCTTATATTTTTCTCAAAACTACTAATCCTGCACTCTTTAGAACAGGATGTTTCCCAGTGGATATGCTGTGTTTTGGTAAAAAAAATCTCGAACTGTAGATCAAGAACATCTGCAGTGGTGTTCAGGACATATTCTAGTAACATTTATTAATAGCCTTTATATCCACCTTGGGTAGCAGACTCAGAAAAAAACATATTACTCAAGAAGTGCAATGTACATATTTTCTATTCAAAATAGTCACTGATTTAAAACATATATATTTTTATTTCAACACCTACATTATACCAAAAAATATATCTTTACTAAGGATCAAGCAGACAGCTACTAATAAATTTTAGATGTTGTGGTAGAACCCAGATTCCCTCTTGAGTTTTGGACATGGTTCAAATGTAAAGAAAAGTCCTTTTTTTTAAGAACTAAATCTAAGTGTGAAGCAATGTAAAGTTTGGAGATGTCACATTATAAATTAAGATGAAACTCTGCTCAATGTGGTGTAGCAGCCAACATGAACAAAACCCAATAGCCTGTGAAGGGCACTGAGAATAAGACAGAACTGGACGTATTTGAATGTGAAACCATTATGTGCTGTCATCTTCAGTACTCTGAGAGGTTTTGTGTTCTGCTTCTCAAAAAGGTGTGATAGTTTGGCCCCAGACAGAAAAAAAATTCCCAGCCAGCCACTTTCTCACCCTCTACTCTCAGCACAATGAGGGGGAGAAAAAAGGTGCAAAAATAGATTGTCAGTTGAGATCACCCACAAAGTACTGCTGCAGGCAAACCAGACTAAATCAGTGGGGAGATTAACCTGATTTATTGCTGATTTATACATGTATGACACAATTAATTACTGATCCAGATATAAGGAGACAAACAGAAAATCATGAAACATTTGGGTGAAAACTTGGGGAAAATACCTTCCCTCCAGCCTTTTTTGTTCCTTCATGCCAGGCTCTTCTTCTCCACTCCACCCTGTTATCCCTGCAGGTTACACTGCATCCCTCCAGACAGGCAGGACAGTCTCAAGGAGCAGGGGGAGTTTAGAGCCGTAGAATCATAGAATGGTTTGAGTAGGAAGTGAACCAAAAGATCATCCAGTTCCAACACCCCTGCCATGGGCAAGGACTTTCCACTAGACCAGGCTGCTCAGAGCCCCATCCAACCAGGCCTTGGATAATTCCAGGGATGGGGCATCGACAACTTCCCTGGGCAACCTATTCCTGTCTCATCATCCTCACAGTAAAGAATTTCTTCCTAACATCTAATCTAAACTTACCTTCTTTCAGTTTAAAGCCATTCCCCATTGTCCTATCATTACATGCCCTGGTAAAAAGTCCCAGTTTGTTTTTCATGTAGGCCCCCTTCAGAAACACCTGCTCGACTGAGGGGCTGGGCTGACCCCTTGCTGGGTCCCAGCTGGAGCTGCCTATGTCCAGCACAGCACAGTCCTGCCTTTCCCTCACAGAGGCCACCCAACAGCACACTCCCATCAGTGCCTGGGCACTGGCACACTGTACAGTGAAATCTGAGAAGGGACAGAGCAGGACAGCTGAAATGAACTGTGCTGCCATGTGTAGACAGACTAAAAAGCCCAGACTGCAGTTTGGAGTGGATAAAGCTGATGAGAGATACGGACACGGTTTACAGATTCCTTAAAGCAGTGGTTTGTTCATAGTGATTTATGAACTGCTGCTTACCAAATCCTTCAGAAGACCAAGAGCCAGCAGAAAAACTACTTTTGAAAGGTAAACTAAACCACTGTTTTCTAACAGCTGGTAGTAAATTTCTGGATTTTTTTTTTTCTAAACTAGTTCATTGAAGAAAAAAGTGTTATCAGCTCTTTAAAGTCATGGGACAAGTAGATCTATGAGGAGATAATGAAAGGTGCTCTCAGGGCTACACTTCCTGATATTCTCTATTTGAAATCTAGATGCTGGAAATGTAGGAAGGGATAAGACCACAAAACATGGCCAGGCTCACACCTTCTCTGTAAATACCATCTTCCATTGCCACTGCTTAGGAAAACACATTTTCATATGGTACTGTTCTGCCCCACTGGGATAGCTCAGGAACAGCGAGAGGCACACGTTGGTTAGGAATATCGTATTTTTAAATGGTCCAGCTGCACAAGTGAAATTCATCCACTGCCTCCCTGCTCAAAAGCTTGCTGTTTAGTCAGTTCTGCCGAGGACCCATAAGCACAGATGGTCAAGATCAAAGCATCTGCCCTTTATCAGCTGCAACCTGTTGCCTTTCCCACACTACATATGCAAAGAAAAGGGAAAATAGGCAAGAGGATTCTCCTTAACAGTTGCAAAATACCTGCATGATTTCAGACAAAAATTATTTTTCATATCCCTCACTAGAAAATCTCCATAATAACCAAACTATATACTTTAGAGAAGATTAGGGCATTCATTAGCATTCCCATTTGATTCTCTCTGGAGACCTGGGCTCTGCCTGCAGCACTGATTGATTCCCCTCCCTGCAGATTCTCATTAAAAAGGAGGGGATAGGAGGATAAGGGGAAAATCAAGTGGATTTTTCTTCCTCTCTTTTATATCACCCTTTCTTGTACAACAGAACCCTCGGATCCTTGTTCACACACTAGTGAGCAATAGACAGGAGATGCATATTATCAGCATGCAGATTTATACTGCTATGTTATAAACTCTGCTTTCAGCTGCATTTTTTCAAGACTGCCTGTCTGAAAACGACCTGGATGAAATGAACATTGAAATAATGCGCAACAAACTGTACAAGGCAAGTCTTTGAAACAAAATTATAATATTTGGGGTTTATCAAACGTCTCGGCAAAGCAGGTCAGTATCATTAACCCTGTTTTATGGATGGGGAAACAGAAGTATGGCGAGATAAAGCAAGCTGTCTAAGGTCATCTGGTTGATTTCAAGTCCAGGAATGAAACCCAGCTACTTCCATTTCTACTCCACTGTCTGGGGACTTTTCAAATTTTAGGTCTGCATCCAAATTCTAATTTAATATCTCATTAATGAAAATACTCTAGATGTCAAGCTAATATCCAGTTCCAGATTTGTTTACGAATAACTCAGCCACCGAATGCCAGAGAACTCTTACCTCCTGAGTGAGTCTAGGCAGACTTTTGGATAACATTTGTCTTTATTTATATAAGGAAGATGAGATTTGAAAGGGTCTAATGGTTTTGAGTCTAGCTAACATGATTTTTACTTAGGGATTTTGTATAATTTTCTTCCTTTAAAAACAATTTTTAGCATTGTTGCAGCACAGTGCTGCAAGTATATGCATTTAACGTGAGCATTTTCAAAGTACTTAGCACACAGGTCACTACTCTTACAAAGTCTCTTTAAAGGCTATACATACTCCAATCCATCAAAGGTTCCTCCTGGCTCATTCTCTTCAAAATCTTTATCATCTCTCTTTCACAGTGGATTCCCCAGATTGCAGGAAGTATTTTTACAGTGCTCTGATTGTACTAGGGGGAAAGAAGAAAAAATTCTGTTTGTCTTACAAATGATATTTATAAATTCCAAAGCTGATTTTTAATTCTTGAAACTTTTACTAATTCTCTCATTCAATACAACATCAATTATGCTTACATATGTTAATTTTTAATGTATTTTAATTCTTTCACAGTACTACTATACTAGATACTTTTTCCAGTTTGGTAACATACACATTTGATTCTTTTATCCTGTGTGGATATCCATATATTAACGCTTACCAAATCTATTTTTTTTCTTCTTGCTCATCTTGCTCATTAGGGGGACCATTCTGCAAACGCTATGAAATTATTAATAGATAATTTCTCCTTTACTTCAGCTGTCAATGTGATCAATTGCTTCTGCTCTACTATCAGATAGCAGTATACAGAACCTAATGAATAATTCCATGCAGTAGATCCCCCTTGAGATGTCTCTACTTAAAATTCACCTAATTGCATAGGTAGTGACAGCTTATAACAAGATTGTGTGAAGTTGTGGCAAATGCATTTTAACATAAATGTTCTCTAATACGGTATTTTGGGAGACTGAGAGGCAGGCAGAACAGCATCTCAGATATTTAGTGTCCTTTCTGCACAGGTATTTTGAAATGGGTGCAGATGCCAGAATCCTTAATAGACTAGAGGGCTCTGCAGACCAGTATTACAGAAGCTTTGTCTGCTGTTCTGTCCTAATCCAGGGTTTAGGGTAGAGCAGCAGGGATTAGTTTGTGTATTCTCATCCTGCTGGCCCAACATCCATGGCATATGCCCAAATCCCCTCCTCCACACACTATAAATGAAGAGTTTCCTTTAGCCATCTGCTTATTATGCAGTGGAAGCTCAATGGAACTCAATAAGTTCCTTCTTTAAAGAGCAAGTAAAACATAATATTTTTCTTATTACAATTTTTGAAAACATTTGATCTCAAATTGTAAAAACAAGACATTTGCATTTGAACGTTTCAAATTTCATTTGAACTAAGTAATTAAGCACATACTTAAAATTTAAATTCATAGGTGGAATTATCAAAGTTAATGGCAGTATTTAAAATGAGGTTCATGGCTATGTGCAATCCTGGTCCAGGTCTTAAGCAGTATTTAAAATACTTCTCTTCTTCTTTCGTGTAGTCTTATCTCGAGGCATTTTATAAGTTTTGTGAAAAACAAGGTGGTACTACAGCAGAAATAATGAGACCTATTCTTGAGGTAAGAAACATTCAGTCTTTATACATTAAAGTACTCCACAATGTTGTCATAATTGTCTCACTTTGTTTTTCTGTTCAATTTCTCTCTATTTGCCAAAGTATCTGTGAAATGTTTGCTTCTCCTCTAAATATACCTGGTTTTTTCTAAGATGTAATAAATAGTGCATTCAAGGATGACTTTTACCTTTTTACTAGAAAAGCAGCTAGACCATTACTAAGGAGAATCCTGTCTCAGTTAACATTTTTCTGTATCAGAGAGCAGAAAAGAAGAAATGGTTCACCAATCTCAACCTGTTGCCCTTTAACATTTCTCCCCATTATGTAGAAAATCAAAAAATGTTGACTATTGAGTTTGGGATAGCTAAAGCCTGGCATTACTGTCTATTTACTAATCAATACTCTTCAAGCTTCATGGTACTGCTACGTTTGTTTACTCTCCTATTAAAATTAGTCATTAAGGTTAGACTTGAATCATCTTTGGAATTAGTGTCACATAAAAAAGTTGAACATTCTGTTTTATATTTTCGTCTCAACTCAGCAAAGTTTAATATTTTTTTCCATGGCAAACAAAGTTCCTAATGTCCTCCCGCCAAAGCATACATGCATCTAGTGAATGATATTTTTGTCTTTGTTTTTTTTAATAAAATATGCAGAAATTTCTCAAATTGAATTCTCAGCATTCAGGTCCCCTTTTCTTTTTTTTTTCTTACTTAGTCTATCACAGTTCTTTGCAGAGGCTGACAACCAGACCACCCACTTGCTTCCAGGAGTATTTTTTTCTGGATAAGCGATTTTACACCCTGGAAACCAAAAAAAAATTTACCAAGGGCTGATGTCATCATACTGAAATTTTGCATTTAGAAGAGAGATAATAACTCTGGGAGCTCATTCTTGAGGGAAGAATGTGTCTGAATTACATTTTACAAAAAACATCCTAAAAGATATTGTAATTTTCTATTTTAATTAAGCAGGTCACAACATTTCAATTTATGCTCTAAACAAAATGCTCTTAATCAAGTTAAATTGAAGAGAAATTAAATATTTTGACTTTTCTTAAAAATAAAAGTCAAGAGACTGGCTGATTGGCTGGCACAGTTGATTCAGATTTTTCAGAAAGTTAGTTTTTAAATAGAAATTCATGCTCAGTGCAGGTTACTTACCAATGTTAGTTTAAGCATCTGATAAAACTCCCTTTATATCAGTGGTAACAATTTAGCCTATGATAAGCTTCTTTAAAATCCCTATCTAATGTCAATCAGCCAGGAGGATAAACTTTTCTACAGAAGATTTGCTTTTCTATAACATTCTATTACCCTGAAGAGACACATAGAACAGACTGCTGATGGTTGGATTCACAAAAACCCCACAAGTTAAATTATTCAAACAAATACTTGCTGTTTATTTTGTAATCTTATATGTAAGATCACCAACCTGACCCTACAGAATAAGGCTGAGGTATTTAGCTCCCCAGCTCCTTGACTACCACATGTGGTGCCAAACTTCCATATTAAGAGTACTGATGATCTCTTTTCCACCGCGGACAGCACATGCTGCATGTTTAGCCCTGATTCTGGCAAGAAACTGCAGGACTGCGTTGCACTGCAGCTAGAGCTGTGTCTGTCAGCATGGCCCCGTGCTAAATCCTGAACCAGCAGTCTCTCACATGCAAACATGCACTAAGGAAATTGTCATCCTCTGACTCCACCTCTACCTGCAGCAATCAAATGGACTGTCACCCAAGTAATTGCCTCGTGGCCCCGCTCTCTGTGGAGACCCTCATGTGCCAATAATTTGATGAATTGCGAGGTCTGTAGGGATGGAAGTTATCCTGAAAATTTTCTCAAACTGGAAGCCACCAGAAGCAGAACCCACACCTGCTACCATGAGTTGCAATTATCTCCAACATTTTTTATCAACAAAATATTACACATCTAACAGCTAGATTCTACATGGCTTTAACAAGTTAAATAAAAGAAAGCATTTGTCCTTCTAAAATGGTTTCAGTAGGTCTAATAGGCTTACTTTTATTAAGTAGTGAAGTTTGGCCCTGTTATTCATTAGCTAGAAATCTTTTCAAGCATGCTTATTTTCTTCTCATTACTTCTTTACTGTTTACTCCTTTCCCTTACTTCGAAGTCAGCACCAGCAGGTAGCGAGTTCCTGTTATTGTCTGTTCCCATACACAAGAGTAGATGTGAATTATGTGGCAGACTAGTGTTGCAAATGCAGCCTTATTATTCAAATGAAAAGAACACCTCTCTGCTCAAATATTCACAGCATAAGAAATTTTTTAGCCTCCTAAAATGTGCCTATACCATATTTTCTTCTCTTGGGAAGATTTTCCCTGTGTAATCCCTGCAATTAGCAAGAGGTCTGCTGTTCTTAAAACATGAAAGCAAGGAATAAAGGAAAGAACTAAACCATAGTCAATTTAGATCTCAAGACAGCAGAAAAGATTGTTTTTATTTACTACTGCATTTTTAAGTCATACTATAAGAATGGTAAGTGAAATTTTGCCTTGTACGAAATAAGAACCCGAGATCTAGACATTGGATTGCCTTTCAGTCTGCTGCTACAGTGAAAATACAGATACTGCAGACATCTAAACCTGACAGAAGAAATTTAGCCTTTTATTCTATATATTAAAAATTAACTGTTATTTGAACCACTTCAAACTTTAACTTTGCAAGTAAACGCCCCCCTCCTTCTTATCAAATTATCATTTTAAATATGTGCATTGAGAAACGACCTCTTTTTAGGTTTTTCATTCCACTTTTACTATCAACAGCACTTTCAATTACAGGCAGTACTATTGATTCTTTGTCCTTTCCTTTATCAGTTTTATTTATAAGATTATTATTGCATAATCTTACATATGAGGGTGTGAAGATATTTTTTCTTGTCAACATCTGGGTAACTAAGCAGGGAAATGAGGAAGCAGCAAAAATTATATTTTTAGAACAAAAAACACAGAATAAAAACTGTAGTTTCAAAATCTTGTTTGATTTTCTAGTCAAAATTTAATGCATATTTGCAAAGAAGAGAGAATTTACAATTTCAAAAATAAGGTATGTGTCCAATGCTCTCAAGTCGACTTTTTTAAAAAAATTACATTTCCATTTGACTTACTAAAAACCCCAGAATATGCCCACCCTAATTTAGAATGAGATGTCTAATAACACCTCTTTATTCTTTGTTTTGCATATTAAGTTTGAGGCAGACAGACGCGCTTTTATCATCACCATTAATTCATTTGGCACTGAGCTGAGTAAAGATGACCGAGAGAAGCTGTATCCAACCTGTGGAAAACTTTATCCAGAAGGCTTGCACCTGTTGGCCAATGCAGATGACTACGAGCAAGTGAAGTGTGTTGCAGAATACTATGCAGTATGTAAACTAATTTATTAAAACAACAAGTCAATATAAAAATAGTTAATAAGCATCTCCTGACATCAGCAAAATTTTTAAGAGTATACATGTAAGTTAAAAGAATTTTTGAGAGAGGAAACAAATCAGCAGAGGTACTAAAGCTCCCATAAAAAAGTGTGGGATCAAAGACTTTTGATATGAAGAGATAAGATTGAGATAAGACGTTATTACATTAGTGCAGTACAAAGTTCCTCTTACAAGGATGTTTAAGTAAGAGCAAATCACATCTAGTAAATAAAACTCTTCCTACTCCATTAACTCTCCCCAAATTGAGTTCACTTCATTGCTTCTGCCTCCAAGATTTTGGAGCATAGCCATACAGCATTTTAAACTGAGCTGACCAAACAATTCATGTCACAGATCAGTCAAACCTGATTTATTGCCAGTATACCATAAAAATTCCCTTCTAAAACATTTTCTCAAAATCACTAATATATTCAAAGAACTAGATGAAAATGTTAATATTGATGCAAATAGTGTTGTTATTGAAGATTAGTAATCTGCAATACTTGATCTACGAATTAACTGCTGTACTCTGTCTAACCATAATATTTAAGCTACCTTTAAGTAGGTACACAAAAAATGTCTATTACTTTTTCCACAAAAAAAAAAATCCCACAAAGGTGAAGCTGTGCATCTGCTCCTGTGCATAAAGAGAACATTTTAATCATGAGTTACTATGTCAATGAGGCATGGAACAAGACTGTTCATGAGATGGTGAGTTATTTAGATGAATTTGGGAACCATTGTAGTAGACCTCTACTACACTCCTACTTTAAGGGAAAAACAAACCAAACACACAGAGAAGGAAATTACACAGAAATGTAACACGTAAGAAATTAAGTCAATGATCTGCACAGGATACTCCAGGATGACAAATCAGACTAATGGATTTGGATACAGTATTAATGCAGGTAAGGCAAATCCAGCTGACTACTGGAAATAAAAGGAGCAGCCATGTGATGATCAGAGTTCAGTGTTTTGGCTCCATTTAGAGCTCTGGCTCTGATGGATACTATTTCTACAAGAAGTTCAGTGCTCTCTGCCCAAAGGAGTGAAAGGTCACATGTCATTCCACAATAAGTCTCTGTTAGTGCCTTCAGCAAATTAATTTAAACTGTTGGAAATTATGACAAGAAATACAAGAACAAATGTGATTTTGCTTTTTTTTTTGCTGATTATATGCTTTTAACTTTTGATTTATGTAGAATTGTGGTCTATACAGGAGGTCTTCTATAATAAAGAAAGATTACTTAACGAGGATTAATTTACAAAGTAATGTAAGGTGTCTGTGCTGCACAGAATGCAAAAGTACCTTATTTCCATGGACAGTGGTTGTCTGTGCTTTTAGGAATACAAGGCTGTGTTTGAAGGTGTAGGGAGTGGCACTGGAGAAAAGACACTGGAAGACGCATTTTTTGAACATGAGGTAAAACTTCTAGCCTTAAAATACAAAATGAATGCTACTCACATGGAATTAAAATTAAAACAATAATGAGGTACCAGGCTTTTGATTCTACTCTACTGTCTACTCTACTGCTTTCTATTCAAGAACATGGATTTTTGATGGCTGTCAATATCTGGCTGAATCAAAATAGAAGAATTTACCTTGTTAAATGAAATTAATCCTATAACATTCTTCTGAGGACTCTTTACACAGCTATCAGTCCGGATAACCTTTCCAAAAGCTATCTCATAAACACCACTTAATTAAATTTCTTTTGAGCAATCTACTAGAGAAGTTATTTCACCACTGTGTTTTATTTCCTGTAATATTGCTGTACTCTATTACCAAAATTATTCCACAGATGACATTTCAATTACACTGATACTCAAGAGATTGCTAAATATAATCATGGTTGCAAAGCTGCAAGAAATCTTGAACATTAATCTACCATATAAAAATCCCATTCACCTTCCTTGATATTTTATCCTAACACTTGTTTCATCTTTTATACAGGTAAAGCTGAATGTGCTTGCATTCAACAACCAGTTTCATTTTGGAGTATTTTATGCCTATGTGAAGTTAAAGGAACAAGAATGCAGGAATATTGTATGGATTGCTGAATGCATTTCTCAGAGACACAGAACAAAAATTAACAACTACATTCCAATTTTCTAAATCTGATCATCTATAATGTTTGAAATGATGTATCATTTCATAGAAAAGAAGAAAAATCTTATTTCAAAAATTAACTCTTACCAGATCTTTTAAATTGTATTAATTAGCCTCCTTACATACATCACCGTAGGAAAAAAAGTAACGCAATTAGAGATATGAATACTTCAGAAGGAAATACTAATGGGTTTATTCACAAATTTGTTGGTAGATTTGTTCCCCGCTGTGCCTATTTTAATTTAATTGATCAATAAAAACCTCCTGCAATGTCTTACATATATACTCTTCTGTGGAACCAAAATTTGTATCAATGACATTTGAAAAGCTCTTTAATGGCTTTTTAAAAAATTAATGTTTTTCTCAAAGGGCAAATTAAACCACTACTTCTATCTCACAGGGTCTTTCTCATGGCATACAGATGGTATGAAGAACTTAATACACAAATAAGAGAGAAACTCTGAGATTGCCCTTAACAAGTCTGAAGGGGAAGCTTCCTGATCTTAACTGTGACTCCTCTCTGCAACTAAATGTAAATAACTATAGTATCACTAAAATGTTTTTATTTCTTCCTTTATGATCAAATGAGGAGCACCCTAAGTGTCAAACAACGGAGATCTGATCTAGTCCCCAGCAATAAAAATATTCCCTCCCAGCACACTTAAGAATCGTCTTTATGTATGCACTGGAGAAGATTATGAAACATGAATGAAAATGCCAACAAAGTCTGTATCAGTTTTACATCAGACACAAACAACACCAGCTCTGAGCTATTTGAGGACTGGCTAGGATCAGTAACTAAAAATAGAGGGAACAGTTGAAGCCAGATTGTAGCAGGACAAGATTAATTCTGCTGAAGAAAAAGGGAGGATTTTGAAAGCTTTATCGACATTCTGCTATCCTACTCTATTCAAAGAATTTGCTCTTTTATCTTTCAAACAGGTCATACCTTGATTTTCTGCATGACTTCCCAGTTTCAGGCTGCACAACAGCAAATCTCACTCTTCAGCTGGCTGTTCCTCCAGTAAATATGATACAGAAATACAATCCATTTCCTGCTGAGTAGGCATAAAAAATTATATCTGATGTCAACACCTCAGAATTATGGAAAAACATTCAGACATCATGATCTTAAAAACTGAGATATAATATAACACTCTCTATAATATGTAAATGTGCACATGCATTCATACATAAAAAGTAATAAACTTTGTGGATTTTTTTATAAAACCCTACTTCTTGAACTGCAAATAACACCAAAGGGCCATATCCCAGAACATTCTATATTCATTTAATGCAGAATTGAGATGATTTTATTACTTTGCTTTATTGTTAATATCAGACAACCTTATATTATTACTTTAAAGAATATTTTCATAGGTTAATTTAGAAATAATTTAATATGAATTTAGAAAAATTGACTAAAACTTAATAAGTGTATAAGACAAGAATACAAGTCTTATTTCTATATTAAGGCATATATCTTTAGTAGATCCAGCAATTCAGAAAAAAATAAAGAGAAACAAAAAAAGGAATATATTTCCGAGTCTAATGTGTGATCAGTGCTTTCATATACCACAAACTGTGTCACAAACTGCAATGAAGAAAGAAATAGAAAACATTGCCACAAATTTGTAGATTTTTCTATATTTGCATTAAAATTACATTAAATTCTACATATGCATTTTAAAAAAATGTTGGGAGCAGAAGAATAACAAAGTCAACTGGTCTGGGACATAGAAACTTAGTAAATGCAATTCAGCACAGTGCATGAATACTTTTTCTGTACTGATAAATCAGGCCTCCTTACTCGAACAAAACAAATGAGCTGACTTTCTGCCAAGAATTTTCTGAAGTGATTTGAAGGGGAAAGAATCTGCTCTCCACCCTAAATCATTCTGTGCCAGGGAAGATATGCAGCTGCTGTTGCTACAGTCTGGATAGTGTTGGCTCAGAAAGAAGTGAGCAGAAATTGCAGCTTTCATGACTGTGTTGTCAGCAGAACTGGTCTTTATGGAAAGGACAGCATCAGTTTTGATTGATGCTTTTTTCAAAACAAATGTCTAGATATTTGCCAAATGAAGACAGCATGTAATAGACCTCAATTATATTTAATTCAAGGACAAGCAAGCTAGGACTTTAAACTTTTAACTCCTCAAAATCTATCCTTTTCTATAAATAATATATTCTACATTACTCCCTTGTTAGTAAAATGGTCTTCATGCAGGTGTATATATAAATATAAATCTATAGACCTATAAACCTATAGACTATAAATATAGATATATAAAATAGAATCACAGAGTTTGCTGAGTTGGAAAGAACCCAATATAAAGGGGATTTAAAGGCCATATATCATCTCCAACAAGACCTTATAGTGCAAGTTCCGATCACAGGATCACTACCAAGAGCATCATTAGCTTCTTGGTGGAAATGTCAACCTATAACATAGGGGAACAGGAAGCAGCCACTTTTCATCTTTTCCAGTGAAATTTGTTCAGTGTGATTACGGTGACTGTGCCCCTGGGGCTGCATCTTTAATGAGAGATGGAGAACAGGACCAGGAACGAGCTCCTGGTGGCTTTTGAGAGCTGTGAATTTTCCTTCCCGTCTACAGCTCAGGCTTGATGTGCTTGCCATGTGCTCACCAACAGCTGGGCAGCACAGAACTGTGGATGCACAGGGCTGTGGCGTCCCAAGCACTTCCCAGGCCCAGTCCCTCCTTCCAGCATGAATTACTGCATTAGGCATCTTTGCTAAGAACTGAAGATTTATAGGATGAATCATATCAGCATGTGGTCACAAGATTTTCTCTGGACTCACTGTCAGCTGACAATAGTAGAATCTCTTGTTCTGATTCAGTCAATTCCAGCATGACTTTCAGGAAACACCAAAAACAATCCAGAGACAGCTGGTCAGTGTTTGGATTTGCATCAGATTTATAAAGCTATTATGATGAATATTACCATAATAGTTTAAACAAGAAAAAAGATCAAATCCGTTGATTTGCTGGACAGCTAGATTGATTTACTGAGGAATGTGGAGAAATATGCAATATAAATAATGGAAAAAAATAAGTGATAAATGGCAATAATATCTACCAGTTAAAACCGTTTACATGACAAAAAACATCTTCTCAAACAAACAGAAATTCATTCAATATGTTGGAATGCCTTCCAAATGACAAAGGAAAAATAAAAATGAGATTCAAGAAATAAAAAGATAAAGCTCTCAAAGGGAAAAATTTTATGTTTATGGCACACTGTGAGAAATATTTGACTATTAGGAATCCATAATCTACAATTATTTTAAGCATTACTAAAGAAAAATAAATTCTCTAGAAGTTAATTACATGTTCTAACTTGCTATTTATAAAATGTAATAGTAAATCAGACTGACTGAAAAGGAACAGGTAGAACTTTCAAGGTCATTGATAAGATAATAGCTGTATATTTTTTCCAATCCAGAAAAGGTACACATTCTTATGTAAATAATATTATATTGAAAATGTAAATACTCTTTTTTCTTTGTGTCTCACTGGTTTCTGAAAGTTCTGCTTTGCAAACAACGCATGTACGCGCGCACACACACACACACACACACACACATATGCATGTGTCAGCTACAGAATTTTCTACTGAGTCACATATCTGCTGTAAACTCAGAGAGCAACCATCGGATAAGTCAATCTAGAACAATGTAGAAGTTGTTCCTTAACAACACTTTTTTTTATTGAAAATTTTAAGAACAATTAAAATATTTGAAAGATTTGTATTAAGTTCATTGAGGTCAAATAAAGCAAACTCTTTTTGCATTTTCAACTAAACTAATTTAAACAATTTTCACCACACCATACATCACAAGAGGCAAATGAGAGCAGTCAAATAATTACAAGCCTATCAGACCTATGAATTTAAGGTCACAAAAATTCTTTATGCATACAACGATGCTTGAACCAAGTTCAATTGAACCCCATACCACTGTTGCTTACAACCCCTGACTATTAACCAAAAAATCCAAACAAACTTGAGAACGGCAGAATTTGAGGACAAAAGCTGTCCCTTATCTGGACAAACCAAGAAACATAAAAAAGGAGGTCACATATTCTCTGCCCTCAGTAGGGTAATTAAAAACTTCAAAATCCTTTTAAAAATCCTTCCCCGCAACCAGACTTTTGCCAGAAATGGTTTCATGAAGTTTGTGTGTATATATATATATATATATATATATTTAGACAGGATGGAACCATCATAACTGTTACAAAACCAAAACCTGAGTATTTTGTCTATCATATGTTACATGAAGAGGGAGTACTAACATTTTTGGAAATGTGCAGAAGTCCAAGAAGCCAAAATAAAACAGATGAAGTTTATTTATAGCAAATATTAGAACTCTCATGGATGTACAAAACCCACAAATTCCAAATTAGTCTAAATAATATGTTGTAAAACATGTAAAAATATATATAAAATTGTTCTATATCTCAAAAAAAAAAAAACCCAAACAAATAAAGTAGTTAACAAAAGCATATAACTACATACAGCAAAAGCTACTGTAAGTAATAGTCCTGTGGAAATAAATGACAATGCTCCAATTGAATTCAGTGGGAGCAGAAGGGAGGTTAGAGCCTCCAGGAAGGTAAATGGCTTTATGGTTTATGTGAAAAACCTGAATCTGTCCTTCAAATTCCTCAGTGTCCTGCAGCAGCCAGGATGCTGTGACAAGTATTGTGCCAGGTAGAAACCAGCATGATCACTGTGCCCAGCACAGGTCACAGCAGACTGAACAGCTGACTGAAAAAGATAACATTTCCTCAGGACCCTTAGATGAATTCATGTTGATGACTCCTCATTGGCAGGAGACAGTGGCTGAGCAGTTTTGCAAACATTATCACCACTTGCCTCTTGGTCTATGGTCTACAATAGAGTGCTTCTGAGTGGGTGAACTTCAGTTCAGATGCAGAGGTGTGATCATCTGACTAATTAAACAGACCTATTTAATTTAGT